GCCCATCCCTACTTTGTCACTGATCAGAATTCCTAACAAGGGGTATGTAGGCCCACCTATACCCAACTGCCCACTGCCATCTCCCTCTGTCATCTCTGTCGTCTGAACACAACACTGTGCTTTCCTAGCCTGCCTCGAACTTTGGACTGTCTGGTTTGCTTCCTAACCGCTGTTCCTCATTTCTCGCTAATCTGCTTTTCCTTTGCTGTCCAATGTCTTGCAGTCCTCCTCTTTGCTAGCAGCCCGGCAGGCTTCCACTGAAGTACCTACTGCGGCAGACCTTGTCAGTGCAATAGAAAAATTGGTCAAAAGCAAGCTGGTAAGTGGGCACCCTGGAGGCAGTTCTGTGTGGCGTCCCACCTCGGTGTGGCTTCCAGGGCCTCAGTCAGCCATGTCCCAGTTTCACTTATTCCTCCTGCAGAGTCATTTCATGTAATGGTGGTTTCTAAAAACTGTGCCCCAGGGCCCTTTTCAGCTTTATGTGGGGGCTGGCATAGGGAATCAACAAGGCCTTTAGGGTTGAAGTAGATGAAAAGGTGGTGTTTCCAAAGCAAATAAATATGCCTCACTGAAAACTGACCAGCTGGTCCCTACGCACGTGGCACTCGGTCACTGACTGCTGTATCTCAGGCTAGCCCTGAAGCCAGTGTCGTGTGCTGCTGAGACAAAATATGGATTGGGCTTTTTAAAGAACCAGGCACTTTTGTTTGGAGACTTTCTAGTTTACAAGGTCTTAGAAATTAGGCCACTGATTATCAACGAGTAGAGGCATTTGTGAGTAACCTTGCCATGAAAAATTAAGAGAGCCAGAATGTATCTCTGTCACACGGGGAAAGCACACAGGAGCCACTAACAACTGGCCTAGCCTGTTGTCTATCTTTTGGACCAATCATAGTACCAGAAGGGAAGGCAATTAGCCTGAGATGACTCAGGATTCCAGCAGGTCACTCAAATGGACCTGTCCCCTCTGGCCCCGTGTTTTTATGAGTGTAAACAACAAGACAGCAGTTCGAAGCATCTTGCTGTCTTTCTCTGTGGTCTACCTGTTTGTTTCCTGTAGTTCTCATCTGGCTAATTCACCACTCTCCCACCAGACGTCTGCTGGGAGGGTCTGCTAATCATGGTTGCAATGAGAGAACAAATGGTGTTTGTAGGTGGTGGCTTTGGTAAGAAGGCAAGTTCTTGGAGGCTGTCTACTTTCCTGCCATCTCTCCCCATGGTTTTTGCAAATACTACATTGACTTTACAAAGTCACACACTCGTGTTTTTGCTTATCTAATGCATAGTAGTGGTCCTTCAGCACCCCCTCCCCCCATCTTATGTCTCACAAAGGCTTTCCTTACCAGTCCTGGCCAGATTTCCTCTGAAGTCCCACTGTCAGCCATAGCTCTGTTATTGCTAAACTAGCCGAATATCCACATTGGCGACTTTTCTCCCCTGCAAATAAGTTATTTGAAGTAGTATTTTTTTCTTCCATTAATATATAGTAGTCTTAACACTTAATAAATTCTTCACAAATATTTGTCCCAAAAATCTGTATCTGCTTTGATTTGGGATGACTTTTACCCTGCTACTTACTATTGTTAAACTCACTGTTGCCCCTGGTTTATGGGATTAGTGGGTCTAGTGTTGGAGACACAAGCAAAATTATTAGGATGTCCCACAGGGGCAAATGTCCCAGAGAAGAGGGAATATGGGGTGAGGTCAGAGTTCACAGGCCCAATCACTGGCTCTCAATAAATGGCCAGTTTACCATAAGAAGAACACTAACTTCTCCCACCGATAGTTACTTCTTGAAGATCTATGTGGAGCCGGGTATCACAGATGTCTCTAGTGTACCATAAAAAACAAAACCCATATAAGAAAAGAGTAAGGGAACAGTGATTTGGTTTCTTAAAATTTTCTCACCAAAATTTGATTCTTTTCCCCATCTTTCTTTCCCATCCCACCCTGGCATAGCCGTGGAGCAACCCACTGTGGTGTAGCCACAGAGCAAAAGTAAAGAGAGGCTATTTCAGCCATGTTTGAGACCACTAACTGTGTTCTTTACTCCAAGACATATTCCTATTTATTCCTCATTAGCTTTTCACTTTAAAGAAAGAGTCCAAGAGGTCATAAAAAGTTCTGGGGTTTATTTGATGGAGCACAGCAGCATAGAGTCTGCCAAAGTAGCCAGTGGTCTCACAGACTTGTTCAATTAAAGTTCAGAGATTGTGTGGACGGTAATATCACAGACTTGTTCAGTCAAAGTTCAGTGTGCTAGTCAAGAGTCTACGGTGCCATTGGACTCCAAGCCATTCAGCCACACCTTGATGAGCCATGTGTGAGTAATCTATTCATTCTAAATGCTGTCATCTAGCATTTAGATTCTTTTTTTAAAGAACTGGAATGGCCCTGGGGGAAGTAGCCAGTACTGTATGATCCATGTTACTTGAATGAAAGCTGAAGGAACTGAGATTAAGGTTGGGGAGAAACATGTAAGGAGGGTTGTCTTTCAATGCCTGAAGCACTGCTGTGGGAGTGAAAGGTTGGTCTGACACTTGCTCCAGAGAACAGACCCTGGGCCTAGAGGCAGTTGTCTTAGTGTGGTATGAGGAAGAACCAGCAGAGTTCTTTCCAATTAAGAGTCTGGTTCCATTTTACAGGAGTTAGTTTTGGTCCCAAATCTTTCTGCTTTCTCTGTTGATTGTTCAAGCAATGGCATCAAATTCTGCACTTAGAATTCATTTGGCTCCCTAGCTCTACCCAAGGTCTGTGAGATCTCCCATGCCCTAGGTCCCAGGGCTGCCCTAGTGCAGTTTCTTGGGCATGGTTGCACCATGGTTCCACACCAGCTGCCCAGAAGCTGCTATTGGAGAATGAAAGTAGGGTCTGTAAGTGCCTCCAGTGCAGAGAAATCCCTGGAGAGCCTCCACTGGTACGTCCTGGGCATGATGGACCCTTCTTGAGTTCTTCCTTGCTGGCTTTGTCTTTAGCCTGTGAATTTGTTTACTATGAGAGGATGCCCACACATCCACCAGCAGAGCTAACCCACTTTTTCTGGGTTCTCTTAAACTCAGAGCCAGAAACAAGCACTTTTTCTGCTTTCCCCATGTATCCTTTTTTTTTTTTTTTTTTTTTTTTTTTTGGTTGGGGCATGGGGTTCAAGACAGGCTTCCCCTGTGTAGCTTTGACTAACCTTGGTACTTGCTCTGTAGACCAGGCTGGCCTTGAACTCACAGAGAGCCACCTGCCTCTGCCTCCTGAGTGGTGGGATTGAAAGCATTCACCACCACTCGCCCATGTGAGTCTTGATAAGACTTTTTCATTCTTTAGCAGCTATGGTTCTGTAACAGGTAGCAAGTTTGTGAGGAACTGAAAGGCAAAGATTTCAGTCCTGGTCTCCTACTTGGTAACACAGCCCCAGGAAAGTGACTTGTCTGTTTGGGAAAGTGACTTAGTCTCTTGGGTCCCTCCTGATGATGAATTTGTTAGCCTGAATCTAATCTCAAGAGAACAAAGATGATTGCATAGGCAGGGCCATGCTTCATACACTGATAAGCAGGCATCTACAAATGTTACCTCTTAGGGTGATCAAAAAGAACTGCGTTGTCTCCAGCTTCCAAGACCTAGTGTGGGTATGGAAACCTAGACCTCTTTTTTGTTAGCCAGTAGATTGGTGGTAGGTGAATGTTACAAGGAAATAGTTTAGTAGATGATACCATTTGGTTTCATCCATCAAGGCTAAAGCTAAAGCTTCCTGACCATGTGAGAATCTAGTGCGTCTATTCCCTGTGACCTGGAGCCCCCAGGGTTCTGCCACCTGCCTGGTACACAGGACTGAACCTCTAGAAAGAAAGCCCCCTCTTAGCACTTGTCGGTGGCACACCCAAGCAGTTGACTGCACTCTCATGGCCCAGTGGATGTGTCTTGATGTCTCCCACCTCTAAGGTAGGGAGGCTGGTCCGTGGCAGCTCTAGTTTGTTCTCCCTGGTAGCCTGAGAAATGTACAAGTTGGCTTCAGCAAGACTCTACCGTCTGACTCCCCTGCTTTGAGAGCACTCACTTCCTCAGGGTAGCCTTGTGGCAGAAGGTGGCTCTGGCCAGGTCATGTCTGTGTCTGTGCTTTGCCACCATCCGTTCACATCAGTCAGTGGCCCTGTAGAGTTCTACAGGGTCAGAATCGAGAGGAGCTGAAGCAGTGGCCCCATCATTTCCATTCTGGTGGTGTATCTTTTCAGGAACTGGGTCATCTGGCACCCTCTGGTAAGGGTGCCTAAGGTTCAGAATAGGAAAGAGTAGAGTTCCAACAAAAATTTAAAACCCCAAATCACCAACCTTCAATTTCATTTGCCTGGAAATCACACACCTCGATTTTTTCATATAGCTGACCCTGGTGTGAACAGCTTAGGCTTTGATGCTTTTTGTTAGGGGCATGGTCTACAAATCTTTAAAAATCTGTTAGTGTCTAATGTGAGCTTCACAACATGAGATTATGGATGCATATATGTACATATATGCACACATACATGTATGTATAGTAAAATGTTCACTATACTGAGAGGCAAGTTAAAATGGCTGTTATTTCACATGGTTATTTTCTGTGTGACAAGAACACCTAAATCTATTTGATGAAGATCCCTAACATAACACGATGTTAAGTGCAGCCTTCAGCCTGTGGGTTGGATCTCTAGAACAATTCGTGCCGCACATCTGTCCCCTTGTACTGTTGAGTTCTGTCGTCTCTTCCTTCCCTTCCCTCTCCTTCCACCTCTGGTAGCCTCTATTTCATTCTCTAACTCTTCAAAAAGATTTCCTTTACAACAGAGATAATGTGATAGTCTTCTCTCTGTTGTCTGGCTTATTTCATTTGGCATCAGGTTCTCCAAGTTTATCCAAAATGTAGCAATTAGCAGAATTTTGTTTTGTTTCCAAGACAGGGTTCCTCTGTGTAGCCCTGACTGTCCTGGAACTCATTTAGTAGACCAGGTTGGCCTCAACTCAGGGTTCCATCTGCCTCTACCTCCTGAGTGTTGGGATTAAAGGCGTGTGCTGCCATGCCTGGCTGGAGTGCTATATCTTATGATAGTTGTAAGTTTTCATTTCTTTAGAAACTGCATCCCTTTCTCCACTCCCACCAACAGCATACGAAGCTCTGCTTTTCTTGCTACTCTCCCCAACCAGTGTTTGTTTTCTTTCCCCACCCAGCTTCTTCCTTCCCTCCCCACCTCTTCCCACCCAATATATAACCATCCTAAGGGTGTGATGAAGAAGTTCTAAGAGGGGACTGTTAGGTATGGTGAGTGGTGCTAGGCTAGCGACGTCCCTGTTACCTCATTGCGTGAGCCTTGATCTCCACTCAGGAGACCACAGCATAGTCACTTGAGCTTTCAAACCCAGCATGGAGCCTCCCTTGGAGAGTCCGCAACATAAGGTTAATGCTCAAAAGCCTCTCCCAGCCTGCATAGTTGCAGTCAGTCCCTCCTGGGCTTCAGTCTGGCATCTCTCCATGCGATTGGCAAAGGGATGCCTTCCCTTTTAAAAACAACTTCATGAGAGCCTTGTATGCTTATTCAGGAAACATTGGGAAAATGACAAGAGCCTAAACAGAGATCATCATCATCTAGATACATTAGGTGTTAGAGTTTCATGTGTTTCTTTCAGACCCTTTGGCCAATAATGTAATCATAGTATTTAGATCCTAAATCCTGCTCTCCTTTGCTGTTTGGTCAGAGATGTTTTCCTGTGTCATTGAAAAGTTCTTTGGAATGTTGAGAGTGATCTTTCTACAACTTAAATCCAATGTTACTCTCCTGCCTAATGCCACAGACAGGCTCCTTAAGATGTCATCTGTGTGTCTCCAGGATCTGACTCCACTCCTTGTGTCTTCCTTCTCTGCCGCACACCCATCCCTGTTCACGAGCACCCATCACACACACACACACACACACACACACACACACACACACCACTAACACAGTCTTCTGCCGGTCCTTTCCTTACATATCCAATTCTACCTGCAACTGGTTTTTTACTCGCCCCACGTGGTTTTACTCCGTGACCTTTCTCCCAGTTCAGTCCCTGCCAGGAATGTTCTCCTGTTGCTATATCCAGTGAAGTCTTTTATATATATCTCAGAATAGCCAGACCTTCACATCCCTGGGTTCCTTTCCTGTGGCTTCTGTGAATTCTTCAGGGAGAAATTGCATCTGCACTGAACATGTATTGGCTTTTTGTTGTTGTTGTCGTCACTGTTCCCTAAGCAAGATAACGTAACAATCATTACATGGCAATGCACATCATAGTCTATACTAAGAATAATGCAGAAATTCATTAACTATAGGATGAATATAGGTTCTATGGAAACACTGAGCCATTTTATAAGGGACCTGAGCATCCCTGGATTTGGGAATCCCAAGGGAGTCTGGACCAGTCCCACAGGACACCAAGGGATAGCTTCCCTGAGCGTCACCTTTTCCATGAAGTCCTTCTCTGCTCTCTCCCTCCCGCTATGGAGCCACCTGCCCCTTTTGTTATCCTGCATGGTCCTTCTGTCAGATTATGGAGGTCTGAGACTCCTACTTATCCTCATTTCTCCAGCATTCTCAGATATTCAGCTTGATTTTCATGTACAAATAAGGCATTGGTTACAATGCTGTATAATGGCAGATGTGCAGAGAGAATGAAAGAGCATGTGTAGGAGCAGAGGGAGGGCATGTGACCCAAGACCCAGGGACTGGGGAATGTGTTCATTTCACCAGGACAGTGGCCTTCCTCCACTGTAAGTCATCTATTTGAATCCTCTTTGCATTTCCATCCCCTGACCGTGAACGAGCCTTAGGAACTTGTATTGCTCCTTGTTCATTTTTCTTTTATCTGCTGGCTACTGTGTCTCTAAACCACAGGTGGGGCAGAATTCTTTACTGTGGAGACAGACTGGCAACCACTGGCTTTTTCCTCCTGGGGAAAGCATTGATGGCAGGTCACCCTGGTTGCCCTAGGCTGGATCTGGGTATCCAACTCCAACACAGGCAGCCGAATCCTCATAGAGGATCACTGTAGAATTACTATAAGCAAGAGGAAGGGAGCCAACTCTCTCATTCCAGGCAGGCTGCCCAGCATAAGAACTAGGCCAGGCCCTTTATTTCCCTCTCACTGTGACACTCTTGTGACTGTCCCAGAGTCCTCCCCAGGAGATAACTGGGCTTCTTTGCCAAGAGAGAAAGGCAGATGTTCCTGTGTGACACCTTGAACTCCTCAGGGGCCCTTCGCTCTGTAGACAGATTGGACCATGCTAATACGGTTGTGCCGTGCACCCTGTAGGCAGCAGTGTAGGCCTGCTTGCTGGGCCTGGCATTCACCTTCCCACCAGCCAACAGGCCACAGAACAAAGGCCACAACAGGACAGTGGGAGAGATGGAAAGTAAAAGATACTAATCAGATCCATCACCAGCTGGGTCCATCTGTGCTGGAGCCTGTCTCTGGTGATGGCACCAGGGGACACGCACTGGAAAGCTGCCGGTCCACTGGCTTGTCGAGCCTCCGCACCAGACATCCTAATTTCCTTAATAACAGGTTTCAAATCCTGTATCTATAAATGTAGCTAAACCCTTCTCGACCTTTCTTTATTTTTAGCCTATACTGCTGCTTTGGACATAACAGCTTCCACGGTTAATTACTTGTTCTGTAAACACCTTTATGTCAAGTGGAAAGCAGTTGTCTCCTTCAAGTTGGAAGACACTGTCTACACTTTTAATTCTAGTGTTGGAAACAGATTCGTGTTTGACCCTTGGCATAGTCTATCAATTTGGGGAGTGGGGGAGAAGGCTGATGTCACCGTTCAACATGAAGGTTTGAAGACTCGAGTCTTGATCTTCTCCATCTTTCCTCCTATTGGGTACCACATTTGCTTTATTTCATTTCCCTGGAATGTTCTTTCCTGCCTCTGTTTGGCTTCTGTTGAGATACAGCAGCTACGAGAGTTAGTGATGGATGCTCTCAAGTACAGTCTGTTTAAGACCAGCCACAGCCTTTCGTCCTGTCCCCTTTGTGCCTGGCACTTTTTGATCTGTGGGGCTTGTGTCTTAGGATGGTGTTTCCAAAGACTACTTGATGAAGCCTTTTAGAAACATAAAGGGGTTGGCATAGTTGGGTACCTTGGGTAGATGACATTTGTCTTTCATGCTTGATCTTGATCTCCAGGATTAGTGTTTCTCAGCATTGTTTCTACCAGTCCCCAGAAGCAAATGCTCAGTGCCATTGGGTGGTCTTTTCGCCCAGGGTACTTGCATTGCCTACAGCCTGGCTCTCGGGCTCAGAGAACACTGCAGATGAGGGTTTGGAAAGAATGGAAGGGTTGGAAGATGGGACAGATGGGATGTTGCAAAGCGTTATCTTCTAGATGTGGCATGGCTCTTGCACCCGTGAATTCAAAGCAACTGTGGTTATCTGACAAGGGCTCATGAGTCCCCACCCTCGACGCTATGAACAGTTACATGGAGGAGATGCCACTTCCTTCAGTGGCTCCATCACTGAAAAGTTGCTTATACTCAAGTAAATAACCTCCCATCCATGCTCATGAGACAGCCCTATTTATTTGTGAGTCGCACTCAGAGATGGGAAGATGGATTTCAGGTGGAGAAAGGACGGGCTGAGACGGGGTAATAGGCGGTGGAAAGAACTAAAATTCATTGCATATGTATGTATGAGTCTACCTAAATCAGTTTTTAAAAAAAAATCTTCAAAGACCTATATGATGGTATCCTAAACAATCATTAAGCGAATAAACTTCATACATTAAAATGTTAGTTTGGCCCCAAAGAGTTTGTTACTACTGCCAGTTCCAACTTGAGTATGTCACTGTTACCAGTGGCAGCCCCAGAGGGAGACTCACCTGTGCAGCACGTGTAACTTTTCCTGGAGTTTGTACTAGTATCATTTCTGTCCCTTAGAAATTTGCTAAAAGGGAGAATCTGAGCTGAAAACCCATGGACACACAGGACAGTTTCATGTCCCTTGCAAGAGTACACTGGGCCTGTCAGACCTGGAGCTAGCCCTCAGGTTCCTTTTCTCAGATGCTTCTAGAACACTATATTGACCCATTTACTTATTTTTCTTAATTAAGTAGTACCTTAGTTAACAGAAATAAGGATTAATAAAAGAAAGCTCTTGGTAAATAACCTTAACAAAGATTTTTTTTTTAGAAAAGGCTACAACTGTTGGCTGTTTCTTGACTACATCTCTTTGTCATCTTCCAAAGTGTTAATGTAACAAAGTAACAGTTTCCACAACCTAGGTCTGTCACTTCCCTTTGCTTATCAATTTGCATGAAGTGGTCCTACAACTGGTTTTCCTTTCCAATGCCTTATTTGGTATAGGACTCCAGTGGTTAGTTTTCCTGCTGGAGCCCTCACCCAGAGATAAGTCACCATGACAATTTCATTATGTCTGGGTAGCTGGCAGCATACAGATGCCTAATGTGCCCTGATCACACGGATGCCTGGTGTACCCTGATTGTGGACAGCAGCTCCCTGCTGCAGGAAGGTGGAGGTCTCTGATTTCACAATGCTTCACTGTGGTTCAGAGAGAACAGCCTTGGCTGTCCTCCTCATACTGCTGGTTTTCATATTGCTTGTGGCTAGAATGGGGAGACGCTGGGCTTGCAAATAACTTTCCAGTGCTCATTCTCAGGCTATTTATCCTTCTCTTTTTAGACTCTGGAAGGAGGCTCTTATCGGGGGAGCTTGAAGGACCCCACAGGCTGCCTGAATGAGGGGATGACCCCTCCCACACCTCCTAGAAACCTGGAAGAAGAACAGAAAGCCAAGGCTCTGAGAGGCAGGATGTAAGTGGCTCCCCAGCCCACCCTGATACAGGTGTATGCAGCACAGTGGCCAGGGGGTCCCATGTTTTCTGTCTGCTGCTCTCTTCCTTTCTAAGTGCCCAGATCTGTGCGGTGCATCTTTGATCATCAATAAGCCACTTTGGCACTGCCTTAATGAAGCTTGGGCTGGGGGTATATAATGTGAGATAGCTGTATTGATGAAGTGTGGTTATAACCGAGATCTATTACAACTGTAAAATATGCTTTAAAAAAATAGAATAGAACAAAATAGAATTCAGATAACCAGGGGATGGTTACCATGGGTCTGCAGCAGCAGAGAGTCCCTAACTGTGGCAGAAGTCTGGTGGAGATCATCTGAGGTGATGTTCCCAAATGTAGGCAAGAGAAAGAAGCATAGAAAGATGCTGCCTGGTGGGGCCCATTCCTGCTTCTTCGCCCAGGACTTCACATCCATTTGTAGATTTCATGGTGCAAGAACCTCTTCTCACTTTGAATGACTAGTGGTAAGATGTAAATCACATCTTGTAAAAACCCATGTGCTGTGTAAGGTTTGAGTTCTCTACCTTGATGCAGCGTAAGTCTCCTGGTATTTGAGATACTGAAGACCACACTGGACATCAGCAAATAGAACCAGAACTTAAGTTTCCTCCTTTGGAGTTGAGTCACCTGGAAGCAAGATGCCAGTAACTCAGTGTGTGAGGTTGTGAGTAGCGCTGAGAATGGGCTCGGCAGGTGTGAATGGTCCCCCCCCCTTACTGTCTGTCTTCTCTTCTTCACATTCGACACTCCTTTAGCGGGGCCGAAGACATAAGAATGAGCAGAAATAACTACTGCCAAGTCCTTTTGCTGCTGGCAAATACGCCGAGTAAACATTTAGAGCTTTGTTTCCTTGGAAGCGAGAGTGCTAACATCATAGTAAGAGCCTGGTATCAAAGCAGGGCTGCCACTGCAGAGTGGAGAGGAGCGAGTGTCGAGTAAACGAATGCCTGTGTTTACCCCCAGAACTTTTTGAGGGTCAGAAGGATCCCAAGAACTTAGTGAATGAGCTGTCATCTCCAAAGTCAAGTTTCCTGGGCCTTGCACAGCGCGCGCTCTCTCCTAGCTTCTCCTGTGGTTGTTATAGTCAGGGGGTGGGGGGCCAGAACTGATTCTAGTCCTTTGTCAAGATGAAGCACGGCTTATGTCAGGACAGTGACCTGTGAGGTGACAGGTGGTCCTTGGAAAATCCAGTGTCTTCAGCTGTCTCTCTGACTGAGAAATGGGTATGAGCAGCACTTATGTCCTTGAAATGAGATGCTGTTTGATTTTGTTATAACAAGCCAGAAAGGTTTATTGCTTTTTAGACCACTGTGCCCATCACTTCTCTTTCATCTGATTCTCATCAAACCCTCCCTTTTCCATGTCCTGAACTCCCTTGAGATCTGACCTGTTGAATGTCTCGTACTGTTTGTGTCCTCCTTCTAACCTGCTGGACTTCACGGCCAACATGGAAGAGCAGATGTAACGGTGCTCAGTTACAAATACTGTTAGAGGCTAGAAGCAGAGGGGTAGACATTGGAGGCTTAATCAGGAGATGACAGGAGAACACCAAAGAGTTAAATGACAGCTACTAGGAGACGAAAACAGGTGTCCTTTGTCCAGAGGAGGAAGACACTCAGAATGGACTTGCTACCCTTCCGTTTTAGCCACTCATCCACTCACCAGGTGCTTGCTGAGTGTATCTTCTGTCCCACCAGTGGGATAAATCAATGAGTAAGACAAACAATAGCAACAACAGAAAGTCTTCACTTGTGGCAGGTTTACATTCTAATGGGAGAAACCAGACAAACAAAGTAAATTAAGTGGTAGTTTGGAACCTGGAGAAGAAAGAAAATAGAACAGAGTAAAGGAAATCATGTATGGGTAAGGCTATGCTGCAGTTTGAAACGCTTCTTCTGGGCTTGCACAGAGAGCAGGAATAGGTAAGGAAGTCGCCACGGAGGAACAGTGTCTCAGCAGTGCCACAGCCAGTGCCACAGCCCAGAATTCCCTGTGGAAGGCCACCCATCCCCTACCAGTGTAAAAGGGGACAGTCACAAGATACTTACTCTTCACTATCAGCTTCGTGGGATGAGAATCCCCTGGGAAACATAATTCTGGGTACCTCTGTGAAGACATTTCCAGAAGACCGACCCTGAGCGTGTGTGTGTGGCACCATCCCATGAGATGGGTCTCTGTATTGAATGAAAGGAAAGGAAGCAAGAGGAAACTGGGCTGAACATCAGTGTTCATCTATATGGATACAGTGTGACCAGCTCTTTACCCCTCCCAACCATAGTAGAGTGTACCCTCTTAAACCGTGAGCCAAAATAGATCCATCCTTTGTCAGTTGCTTTTGTCAGGCATTTCATCATACCCATTTGTAGAGCTGGAAGAATTTCAGGTAGACCAAAGAATAGTATTCATGTATTGTAGGGATTGGACATGAAAAAGAATTGCATTATTTTCAACTCTTTTGGCAGTTAATCATGCCATGCCTTGAAAAGCTTGTATACCAATCTAGTTGTTTTTTGTTTGTTTGTTTTTGTTTTCTGAAGGAATCTTGTTATGTAGCCCAGGCTGACCTCAAATCTTGACTCTCCTGCCTCTCAAGTACGGGGGTGATAAGTATGCCCCTCCCACACACCAGCTAGACGTCTTTGATTGTGTCTCATCTTCCCAGGTACTTTATTGGCCCTTCATGGGAACCCAATGCAGTTCCCTTTCCTAGGGACTCAAAAAACCAAGACACTCTCCATTGGTCAGCAAACAACTGAAGATAAAAATATCAGTAGCCGGCGGCAGAGCACTGGCCCTCCTTTCCAAAGGGCCAGCCCAGTCCCGAATTCCCATTCTCATTTTCTTGTGGGTTTTCTCTGACCACTGTCTTCCAGGAAGTAACTTGGGCCATGCTAAAGATACATCTAAAGGCTTCTATTTGTCCTTGCCGGTTCCTTCCTGTGGCCTGAAACACAGGATCGTGTGTTGGAGGGAGAAAACAGCTGGGCATTCTGATAGAGCAAGCATGTGTTCTTTGCTACCTCCATAGGCTCAGAGGCCCAGACCCCAGGATTCAGTGGCTTCACTGTGCTCTGTGGAAAAGCATTTCAGATGAATTGCTTCCTGGGTTTACAACAGTTGCTGGGTTGTGACAGTCACCACTCCACTTTGATATCTCAATGTTATCCCTTCTGTCCATTGGTCCAGAAAATGCACTGGTGGAGCTCCAAGCAAAATTCTTTCTGACTCTTGTACACACAGGACTGCGAGGCCTGTGCATAACTCTGATGCCTTCTGTATGGTGTTTGACTCTCAGAACTGTAAAGAAGTGGTGGCATTTGGGGTGGATACTACAGGGATGCCAGAGGCCTCACTGGGCTGTTCCCTAGGCTACTAGGAAATGATAGTCTTTGGACCCTTAACACTTAGGTTCAGATCTCTCCTGTGTTCTTCACTTTGTAGGCTTGGACAAGTCCCCTAACCTTCCCATCTATCTCAGTATTTAAATGATAGGATTTTACAATTCCTGCCTTGTTGTAAGCATGAGAAAACCCAAATGGGGTAACTGGTATGTAATAAATGCTCTGAGATAGAAGTAATTCACAAAGAACCCAAGAAAGCAAATGCCCTTGTTGTTATCAACCCCATATCCTGGGCTAGGAAATGCTGTGTTCAAAGCTGTGAACATGTAATATCTGCAGCCAACCTAGGTTCTTTGGCCTTGACTGAGGATTTTTCAGGCCAGTTACCATGGATACATTCCTGAATAACTGGAGATTATGTGTAGAAGCTTTACTCAATAGCTCCACAGCCTTTCAAGGCTGGTTAACACACAAATGTCTTTCTTCTCTTGCCTAAAATAAGAATGGAGCCGAAATAAAGGAATAAAAGCCTCATGTTGATCCCTTGGTCTCAACACTTTCATAACTCAGTTTTGCAAAAACAAAAAAGTGGTCATAGTTATCTCTACCCTGTGTTTCTGCAAGATGGGATGGACTGTAACTTGGTTCACAGAGTGCTTGCCTTGCATGTACAAAGTCCTGGATTCAGTGCCCAGCACTGAGTGAAACTGGCAATAATAGTGTACGTAGCTAATCCTGGCACTCAGGAAGTGGAGGCAGGAGGATCAGAATTTCATGGTCGTCTTTGACTATATAGGGAATTTGAGGCCAACCCAGGAGATACAAGACCTTATCTTGGAGGGGAGGGGAGAGGACGGGGAGAATGAGGAAGGGAGGGAAGGAAAGTACTGGGCACCCTTCCTGCCTGACTGTTGTGCCTGCCCCCTGGGGACAACCCTCTCTAGCCTTGCAGTCATCTCACCAATGAGTCCCCAGCTGTGCTAAAGGCATCTTTCTAGTGTCTAATGAGGGTCTTTCCAGTGCTGTTGTGCTACGTTTTCTGAAGTCACATTCCTGTGATCTTTACTGTGCAGATTTCATGCTTTATGATGAATAGGAACCTCACTGTCTTTATCTCTTACTCAGGTTTGTCCTGAATGAGCTGGTACAGACAGAAAAGGACTATGTCAAGGACTTGGGGATTGTGGTGGAGGTAAGCCGACAGCAGGGTGAGGTGTATCTGTTCTTACCTGACTAGGAACAAATTGGATTGACCCTACCTGGGCCCAGGTTCTTTAAACTTTTGACTGTACTTATTTGACTTTCTAGGACTTGGCAAAAATGGTACAATTCAAACAGAATGTGGAGGCAGATTTTCATTTTCTTCTTGAAATATTTTCATGTTGGGGGGGCGTATGCCTTTAATTCCAGCACTGGGGAGGCAGAGGCAGGTGGGGCTCTGAGTTCAAGGTCAGCCTGGTCTACAGAGTGAGTTTCAGGACAGCCAGAGCTACACAGGGAAACCCTGTATCAAAAAAAGAAGGAGGAGGAGGAGAAGGAGGAGGAGGAAGAGGAGGAGGAGGAGGAGGAGAAGGAGAAGAAGAAAGAGGAGGAGGAGGAGGGGGAAGAAGGAAGGAAGGAAGGAAGGAAGGAAGGAAGGAAGGAAGGAAGATTTTAATGTGTTTAGAGGGAGGTGGCCTGGTTGAGCAACAGAAGTGACCACAGTGCTGTCTTAAATGCACACATGAAGTGTAGGCTGACATGGATGCTAAGGAATAGGGTTTGGGCCCAGAATGCTATCTATAAAGTCTTCTGCTGACGTCACCTCTGTTGCGCAGGGCTTCATGAAGAGAATAGAAGAGAAGGGGGTCCCTGAGGATATGCGAGGAAAGGACAAGATCGTGTTTGGAAACATCCACCAGATTTATGACTGGCATAAAGAGTAAGTTCCGTGTCACCTTGGCAGTAGGGCATCTGCCCTGAGAGTATGGCATCTGCCCCCTGCATCTGCCCTGCGCAGCATATTTGACAGGAGCCTCCTGTCATTTATTTCATCATTGAAAGGAGATGTCTCCCCAAGAAGTGTGACTTCCTTCTCTTCTCTCCTTTAGTTTTTTCCTGGCTGAACTGGAAAAATGTATCCAAGAGCAAGACAGACTGGCTCAGCTCTTCATTAAACATGTGAGTGTTGCCCTGGCTGTCTCCCATCTCCCCAGGTGCCAACACACTCATTTTTAAAATTCCTGCTCGCTTCAGCTCTTCTTGGCTCTGTTTGCTCTCCCTCAGTACTCTGGTTTTGTTATTTAACACATTTGGCCATTTCTCTGCCTTGTTCCTTCTTTCATGTGGCCCATTCCTTGTCCTTAACTGCCCTTGACTCTGGGGGGTGGGGTGATGGTGAGCCCAAAGCCAGGGTGCCTGACTGTCACATTTTCTTCTTCTGTACAGGAGCGGAAGCTACACATCTATGTGTGGTACTGCCAGAACAAGCCGCGTTCCGAGTACATTGTGGCTGAATACGATGCCTACTTTGAGGTGAGCTAGTCCTCATGTGTGAGGCGCTCAGTCCAAAACAGCCACATTGAGACATACCCCAGATCCTCCATCCACAGGTGCCCCCGCCACTGGCCTTCATGACAAGAAACCTGACTCCACAGAGCTGTTAGCGTCTTAGCTCCATCCCCACATGCATCCTTGCTCTGTCTACACACTGTTGAGAAGCCTTCATTTATGGAAAGGTTCTGTCACAGACTATGGAAGCTCTTGTCCTTCTCATGGAACCACTGAGTAGATTGTGTCCAGGGTCTTCCCCATCTGCCCTTGGGACTGTTGCTAAGTGCCTTCTCCCCGGTGAAAGGACTTGCAGTCACTTCATAGTCAGCTTTTGTTCTTTGCCTTAGCTAGCATCAAAACTGGTCCCTTGCACCATTGAACTTGATCCATCCACAGCATCCTAAGCCTTGAGATCCTTAGTTTCCAGTATCATCCCTATGTCCAGCACCTCCGAGTGTGTGGCTGCCCCAGCCTGGCAGGATACTTCTGTTGGTGAAGAGGCAACATCATCCCTTAGAAAGGACCCTGAGTGGAGAGCAGAGCTTAGGACCCACCCTGTGTCTGAGGGGAAGCCCTCACCTGATTCTACCCTAAAGTGGTAGAGAGAACACAGTACCTGTTTCGGGTTTTCTCCCAAGACCAAAGTGAGGACCGTGGTGTGACAGTGCTCATTGTGAGAGCTCAGGAGCCAAGCAAGGTCTTGGGGCTGTGTGATGCCTAGCTCATAACGTGAATGGTGGGGTAGGCAGTTGTAGCGTGAAGAATCTGAAATTTTTCTGGAGAGCTTGAAGACTTGTCACTCACCCCTTTGAACCTTTGTGTTTCAGGAGGTTAAACAAGAGATCAACCAAAGGCTGACCCTTAGTGACTTCCTTATCAAGCCCATTCAGAGAATAACAAAGTACCAGTTGCTACTCAAGGTAAGAAGCAGGGAGCCTGGTCCAGGATGGAGCAGTGTACTCAGGCTGGAGCAGTGGGCATAGCACTTGGGAGTATGGCTGCCCTTCAGGCTGGAAAGTTGCTGGTTGCTCTGTCAGCCTTGTGCCTGAATAGCTTGCATGGCCCTTGTTTCTGCCCTTAAGGTTGCTTGCTACTTGTTTTTCTTTCTCTAATTTATTTTCTTCCCCCATCTCTCTCATTCTCTTTTTTGTCTTTCACTTGGGGAACTGAGCCAAGGGCCCTATCTATACTGTATCTCCACCCTGAGCCCCTCTCTCGCTTGCCTTTGAAAACTAAAACATAAGCCAGGCACAGTGCCACTCATCTGTACTCCTAGCATTTGGGACATGAAGGCAAGAAGGTGATGAGTATGTGGCTTGGACTGTGGAGTGAGACCCTATCTCAGACAGACAGCAGCAGAGACCTGGAAAGTAACAGGAGTATAAGAGTGGAATAGAAGGGAAGGGGTGGCCCTGGAGACCTTCCACAGTCCCTAAGATCTGATCATATACTAAACAACTTGATTTGATTTTTTTTCCTTCTGGAAACAAGAGGTCAAGTGGAAAAGAAAAACTCCACTTTCCTTTCTCCCGTCTATCTTGTTGAGGTCCCACTTTCCTTCCCCTCCTGTCCTCTCTCCCAGGCTTATTTGTCATATTCTGGAGCCTTTCTTGGTGTCTTTATGTCTAACATGACTCATGTCATTTCATTTCTCAGTTACTACAAACCATTGCCACCTCCACTGGGGAGGAAAATCTTTGGGTGTTGTTGCATTTTTATAATAAGTTTTTTTTTAATGGCTCTCTGGCTATTTTACTATCTGATTCACCCCTCCCACGCCCTTCCTTGCTAGGACTTCCTGCGATACAGTGAGAAAGCTGGTTTGGAGTGTTCAGATATCGAGGTAGGTTTCTGCTTGTAATGCTTGCTGTTCTTAGGGACCATGTCTAGTGTCTTGCCCCCAAAGGGAAAAGATGATCAGAAAGTCCAGGGTTGGGCTGGAGAGATGGCTCAGTGGTTAAGACCAATGGCTGCTCTTCCAGAGGACCTGGGTTCTATTCCCAGCACCCACATGGCAGCTCATGACCGTCTGTAACTCCAGTTCCAGGGGACCCCGTATCCTTACACCAATGCACATAAAATAAAGTTAAATAAAGTATTTTTTAAAAAAAGCAAGAAAGTCCAGGGTCCAAGCCACTCCCCTCTTACTCAGCAATATGAGGAACGGCAAGTGCTACTGACCACGGAGTGTTTCCAAGAATTCAAGACCCCTGCCCTGGACCAGCCCAGAGCATCACCTACTGATGTTTGGGGCTCTTGCTGGATAAAGTGGGGAAGAGTGATAGTTGACACTGGGTAAAATTGCAGAGATTCAATATGCAACTTTGTCTCTGGCTCCAAATGCCTTTTGACCCTAACACATAGATTATTCCATTTCCATTCCCCAATACCCCCTGAGGATTACCCCCTGAGTGTTTCCTTTGTGCAGCAATAGGGATTATTTTAAACCAAAGAGGTTGCAGTCATTTCTGGCAGGTTATTTTAGGTCAGAACCTCCTGTGTTTCAACAACCAGGATAAGCTGTTGTTTGGCATTCTGAACGCAGCATAGAAGAATTAAAAAAATAAATAAATAAAAAATAAAAATAGGGAGAGGGAGAGGGTGATAAGAGCGGGAGGTAGAGAAGAATGGGCTGGTAACATTTCCCCATGTGTTGTCGCTATTGACATGGGGCCCTTGTGCTAATACCAGCCTCTCCTATCTAAAAACTCCACATGGTCCTCTGCCAGTGAGCAGCAGGAGCCGCACCCTCTCTGAAAACAAAGGGACTAGGGGAGATAAGTTCCTCTTCCCAGCCCTGAATTTCATGAGCTCCCTACTGAATGCTCTTCCCCCATCCTAAGTGATGTGTTCTTTCCCACAGAAAGCAGTGGAGTTAATGTGCCTTGTTCCCAAGCGCTGCAATGACATGATGAATCTGGGACGCCTGCAGGGCTTTGAGGTGAGCCCTTAAGAGTGCCACTAAGCCCTCTGTAGACAGGAGCCAGGCAGGAACCAGGCCACAGAGGTTCTTCTCTTTGAAGCCCTGCACCCCGCCGCTGCCTCTCTGGTTCACAGATCTGGGGGATGGAACTATTGCAGAAGTGCAGTGATAAGGCAGAAATAAAGCTTTTGGCCAAACTGGGGTCAGAATTCCAAGGGGATTGGAAAGGGACAGAGTTCCTTGTGACTGTTTGAGCCATAGTCGCATCCCTCCTTCCTCTTGATTAAGAAATGTGAGGATCTGAGGCACTGAGCCAGGAACCCAGTAGGGAAATGAACTCTTCTTCAGGGGGGTGGGTCTTCTATAGAAGTCTGTATAGTAGTTTTAAAGCCCTAAAATATCACACATGTTTCTGTTGCTTGACAAGGGGACAAGCCTTAAGGGAAGTCGATGTCCAGAGGACACACTGGTCTGGAAGAGCTGCCATAGCAGAGCACTATATATGGGTTGGCTTAAACTACAGAGACCCCGCCTCACTGGCCTGAGGCCTGAGCACTGTGAGGAAGAATCTGTCCCCAGTCTCACTTCTTAGTTTGTTGGTGGCATCTTCTGGTTCTCATGGCATTTTTATGAATCTCATCAACTTCCCTATGGATGTGATATTATGTCTGTGTCCAAATCTCCCCTTTCAAAGTCCTATTTCCCAACAACCCCAAATCTAAGAGTTCATTATTATTTTTTAGATCAGAGGGATTCCTGGAAGTTGAGATAATCAGGAAAGAGGTTCTACCTAGCCCAGCCCTGCTATGTTAGCACAGGTTAGCCCAGATAAAGTGCAGAAGGAAGGCCAGATTCGATGTCACTGAAAGTGGGAGAAGCTACCGCCCAGTTTGGGTTGTCCTCTAGCCTCTCTTTGGACTGCCGCCCTTCTAGTCCATCCTTCCTGACCCTGCCTGGGCCCCATGCTTTGTTGTGATAGGAACCAGGTGGCAGGTTTTCATGAATTCCCAGCTCTCTAGGGTAGGCCTCAGTTAGATGTTAGCATAAGTCGAGCTACTTGGCTCACATGTGCTCTTGAGTTCACGGGTGCTTTCTTGTCAGCCAGCCGGGAGAGAGTTTCTCCTTTTTTCTCCTGGCGTTATACCAAGTCTGAGGCTATTGTAATCAAACCAAGTTCTCTGCTACCTACCTCTCTTACTCATCAACGTAGACGTCCTGGTGTTTTCTAAATAGCAGTCTGGGTAGCTTTCTCTGAGTCCCTTCAGGAAGTGACCACTGAGTGGAAGGAGGGCATACATTTGTGCTGTCACACCTGAGACTCTGTGTGTGTATGTGTGTGTGTGTACAGTAAAGCCACACATGGGAATGTAAAGTTTTCTCTTGTAAAGCAAGCACCATTGTCCCGTATTTCCATCATTAAGCTAAAGAGAATCTGCTCTGCATCCCCACAGCTGACTGGGAAGGACCGAGAGCATATGCCTCCTCCCTGTTGGGCCCCCTCATTCTCATTGTCTCCCTCTCAGACCTTGTGGTCAGCCTACCTTCCTTGTAGGGCTGGCTGCCTGTGCCCTTGATTGAGTTCTTGTGTAATGTTAGTAGAGTGTGCAGAGCTTTCCTGCCTAGCTGGTCACTGGCTTAATATTAACTTTGGACCAGGGTAGAGATAAGCCTGTTCTCCTGCTGACCTTGGCAGTCAGGAGCCACAGTCCAAGCAAAGGGCAAGTGTTTCTCAGCAATACAAAGGAAAAATGACCCAGGGAATGCTTGCAATAGGGCATCATGTACAGGGCATGACTGACCTTTGCACTAAAGAGTAAAAGTTGTCCCTAAGAAAGAGTACATGTCATAGGCCCTCTGATCTCTACCCCCGATGTCAGAGCCTTCTTACTGAAGAGAAATTAAATAAATAAATGATAAATAGTGAGGCTTTCCTGATAGATTCTGGGAAGGCCTGCTGGATGGACACATTCCCTTTAAAAATGTCTCCGGGACACTGATTTACAGGCTGGCAAGCCAGGTGTGTGCCCCTACCTGAGCTGGGTAGTAAGTAGCTTGATAGCCACCGGGGTCATTTTAAGAAGGATCACAGGATCCAGAGACATCGCTCTGGCCTTATAAAAATTGGACCTGATCTATATACCCCAACTTCACCCGTCAATCTTAGCAAGAAACAAAAACTTCAGAATACCCATAGCTTAAGTGATAGAAGGAGATGAGAGGGACCGAGTCATCAGGTTAAGATCGTGTTTATATCACTCTCCTTGGCCACAAATTGGTTCTAGGTTCGTAACAATGAGAGTGCCCCCAGGCCCTTGGCCCATGCCACAAAAAAGCCAGGCAGAAAGAGTCTCAAAGCTGTAAGGGAAGAGGATATATTGCCATCTGCAAGCATCACCAATCTTCTTCCATTTAAAAACAAACAAACAAACAAAACCAGAAAAGCAACAGGCAAGGTGGTACCTACCTTTAATTCTGTCACTCAGGAGGCAGGTAGGTGGGTCTCTGAGAGTTCAAGGCTAGCCTAGTCTACCTAGAAAGTTTCAGGCCAGCCAAAGCTACACAATGAGATCCTGTCTCAGAAAAGGAGAAAAGATAAGACCAAGATCATTCGTTCCTTCTTAGCTGTTTTCCTCTGACATTTTTGGGGTATTGTTTCTTACTGAACCTTATATATGAACAGGGAAATATTCATAGTCTATCCCCAGATGAGTAATTGGATCCAAATTCAGTGTCTTGCTAGAATTCCAAGGCTTTGAGTGTCAGGTCTATTGTCCACATCCCCCAGAGGTAGGAAACTTGTAGCCCAAGAGAGCTAAATCCATTGCCCTGATTTTCATGGCCTCCCCTGGACCCCTGTCTCCATCAGGGCACCCTGACTGCCCAAGGCAAGCTTCTGCAGCAAGACACGTTCTATGTGATTGAGCTGGATGCTGGCATGCAGTCCCGGACCAAGGAGAGGCGTGTGTTTCTCTTTGAGCAGATCGTCATCTTCAGTGAACTGCTCCGAAAGGGGTCCCTCACCCCAGGCTACATGTTCAAAAGGAGCATCAAGGTAAAGAGGGACTGCGGGGTATATGGGGCAAAAAACATCTTGGGGGCTTAAGCTACCTGGTGATCACCATGAGAAGTAATAGCAGGCCCAGGGCCAGTCTCCAGCATGGTCTTGAAGTATACTTGGTCATGTCATTCACCCAAAGCCAGAAGCTAGAGACTTTACTCTTAGATCCAGAGTAAAATTTGGAAACCTTTCCTGATATTAAAAACTTTAAGGAAAGCTGGAGAAATGTCTTAGCACTTAAGAGCACTGGCTGCTCTTCCAGTTCCCAGCACCCACATGGTGGCTCACAACCATCTGCAACTCCAGATCCAGGGGTTCTGATGCCCTTTTCTGAACTCCATAGTCACCAAGCACAAACACAATGAATGCACAGATATACATGCAGGCAAAACACCCATATACATAAAAATACAGAAAAAAAGTGTGAGTTAAAAAGGAACAACTTTGAAGGTGAAGGACAGTAGTGGGTTGCCGATTTATTTTAACTCCTTAAGTATGAAAAGGTTACACTGGTTTTGTTTCAGATGAATTACTTGGTCCTGGAGGAGAATGTTGACAGTGACCCCTGCAAGTTTGCACTCATGAACAGGGAGACTTCAGAGAGGGTCATTCTGCAGGCTGCCAACTCAGACATCCAGCAGGCCTGGGTGCAGGACATCAATCAAGTCCTAGAAACACAGAGGGACTTCTTAAATGGTATGTGATGGACTTGCTTCTAGCAAGTCCATTTCAGGGGACCCGACCCCTGAGCATCTTTGGGTCTAAGTTCATGGAGACTTGGGAGGCCAGATAACATTCTATCTGGTCTGCAACCTCATAGAGTTTTAGAGACAATTTCAGGAGCCTCTTAGCTTGAAGGAATAAAGTGAACTCACAGGTTTGAGAAAGAAGCCCCATGATCTTAATCAAGGGGGTATTTGTCCATAGGATATTGTGTATGTCTTTGTGGTCCCCATGGTCAACTGGTAATAATTTGGATAAGGCAGGCAGGCACATCTTATTTTGTAGAGGCCTGAGTTCTGTGATTCTTGTTCTCTCACCTTGTAGCTGGTGGCTGGTACTCTCTCAGGCTCTCTAGGATTAGCTAGAGATAACTAGGAGTCTGGTAACAAACACAGTTCAATCCTTCCTCTTTTCCCAACAGGTGAGAGCCTAGCTCATCTACCCATTTAGTTACCTTGCCCCTTTCAGATATGAAAATTGCTAAGCCTAACTCGGTAGTACCCAAACTTCCCACCAGTAACAAACTGGTGGTTACTCAGATACCTACAGGCATCTACAAGAGGAGATGGCTCACACCTGTAATCCTAGGACTCGGAAAACAGAAGCAGGTGGATATCTATGAGTTTGAGGCCAGTCTGGTCTATAGAGAGAGTTTCAGAACAGCCAAGACAAGTTTCAAGACAGAGAAACCTTGTCTTGAAACACACGCATGCACACCAACACACACACACACACACACACACACACACACACACACACACACACACACACACACACACAAAGATGAGTAGAATTCCTATCTTGTTTGTGTTTCATTTTGTCCCTGCTGGTAGCTGTTCACCTTCAGCTTGGAGTGTGAGCCGAAATGGACAGCTGGAAGGTAGTGCTGCTGAGCTGGAGCCTGAAGTTGAAGGCGAAAAGGAACCAATGACACAGTGAATGAATAGTCTCATGAGCACATATCTGTATAGATGCAAGCATGCAAGCATACATACTTAGACACATGGAACATCACTTTGATGTGTATCACCTCTTCTTGCCTGAACTGAGCTTTGTACACACAGCCAGCCACATGTCCCCATACATACATGTCTGTGCACGCCCACAAGACTACTCCAGGTGCCCTATCATTTCTTACTAGTGCAGTGCCAAGGATTTTGGTATATGCCCTTTTTGTTCCTGTATACACTCAAACGTGTGTGCACATAACACTGGACCACCTTGGGGTGCACTTCTTACCTCTATTGAGATGTACACGTGACCGTGTGTACTTGCATGTATACACTTACCCTCGTGGGCCCACCCTTGGTCTGTCTCCTTGCTCCTGCAATTGCTAGGCTCTTTCGGGTAATGAGAACACAGCATTTGCTGGGTGTCTAGCATGGAACTGAATGCTATGGGGACAGGAAAGAGGTGCCAACCTAGCTGAGGATCTTGGGCCAGGTGAGATGCTTCTCTGTGTCTCACTCAGCTCCTTTATGAAAAGGAGACTTTGGAGTTAGATCTGTTCTACCCATGCTGGAGTGTATTGGTGGGCAAGCAGTACTGCACAGGAAACATGCCCTGCCTACACGACACCTGCCTCAGGACAGCATGGCCTGCCTACACTAGACCTGCCACAGGACAGGCTACTTACACTACAACTACTGCAGGACAGGCCTACAGTCCTAGTCTGTCACTTTTCTCCATGGTAAGGTATGTAATATAATGTTTTCCTCTTAAAACAAAAGGCTATGGCTGCAACATAGCTCAGTTGTTGAGTACTTGCGTAGCATGTACTTGTGGGATCTTGAGTTCAAGCCCCACTACCTTAAAAACAAAAGTTTCCCTGATATTAAACAAGAGAAGGCTATGAATAGGATTCTGTAACTTTTAATTTTCAAGACATGGTTTCTCTGTGTAGTTCTGGCTGTCCTGGAACTTGCTCTGTAGACCAGGCTGGCCTCAAAGATCCGCCTGCCCCTGTTCCCCAGTGATGGGATTAAAGGTGTGCACCATCACTGCCCGACTCAAGATCCCATGACTTTTAACCACAGACATGGAAGTTCAATGCTGTTTCAAGCTTACAGAGAGTGTTTAGGGGCCATATTCCCAACTGGAAAAGGTGTGAAACACTTAGAGCTCCCAGGCTCCTTTTTTATTCTAAAACATTGACAATTAAACAACATGGATTTAATTGAATTATATATAGTTTACAATTTCTAAATATGCAACTTTGAATGAACACAGCTTGTTGCTAGTGTGATTAAATGCAAAATATGTGCATATGTAAAACAGATTCATTGAAATTGGATTCTGTGAAGGATTTCTGGTATGGGAGTGGGAAGGAGGGCTTTAAGCTCATCAGTTCAGAACTAAAGTAAAATAAAAAAAAAAAAAAGCTGAAACCATAAATAAATTAACAATAGTGTCTCCCATGTGTTCACTCACTCTCTGCATTGGAAGTTAAACAAAGCATTCTGTCTGTTTCTTTGCCCTTAATCCCCACACCAACATGACTTAGCTGAATTATCACCCTGTTTTGATGAGGAAAGACAGGCTTGGAGATGTTAAGAAACTTGTCTAAGCAGAAGCAGTAGGTGTTAGTAGTGACTTCCGAGCTGGCTCTTCCATACAGTTGTCAGCAGCAGAGCAGACATTCACCCTATGCTCCCTGGCAAAGAAGGGAGAGAGGGATAGAGCGGGGAGGGGAGAGGTCATGGGAGAGCAGCATCCAGGCAGGTGACCAGAACTTAGAACCTGAATCCAAAAGACAAAAACTCACTGTTAATGTCCATGTTCTGAGGTTAGCATGGTGAAACATGTCTGTAATTGCAACAATCAGGAGGCTGAGACAGGACTGAGTGAGACTCTTTCTGATACCAAGACCTAGTTATTCCGATTAAGGCTAGTGAAAGAATACAGGCCTAGTCTTCATAGTTTATTAAGTGAGACAGTATTTTCAAGTGCTTGGGAGCAATTACTGCTCATGACCAGTTAGCACCCCAATTCCGTGTCATGGGTAGAGTTCTCAACTCCGTGTAGCCTGCTTAATAAAAGAAAGAATTTAAGTGTTCTGTGATGTGCTTAAATTTGGAATCACATCACTTTCAGCCCAATGATTCATATTTCACATGGTCCCAATAGACCTTTCTCCTAATTACAGTGAATGATGGTGATATCACTGAACAAGGGAATTGTTACCTAAATAGTTAATGCCCACATAGTTCTCCCCAGGAGCCTCGGGGGCCGTGCTCTGGCAAGTCTGCTATACGTTTTGATACACTCCAGGACCAGGCTTCTGCTAACAGACATGTGAGCAGGCATCTCAGCCAATCTTCCCTCCTGAGACATGATTAGAAACCCAGTCCACTGAAATGCATGCTGCACCCATCTCTGTGTACTGGGCCACAGCTGGTAATCCACTTACATAGTTGTTGCAGTAAATACTGATAAAAATGCCCTTATTGTGCCTGCCCTGGAATTTCTTCATACAGCGGTCTCCCACAGGGCCTTTTCTTGGCTGTACCTCTTTAATGCAGACCTGGAACTTTGACTCTTAAACTCAGTAAAGCAAAGCAGAACTCATAGTTTTCCCTGCAAGCCAGTCCTTTTCGCTTGTCTCTCACCTGCTATTTTCATTCTCTAGTGCATTTCCCAGCCAGGCTCTCTCCTCCCTCCACATTCACTTAGCTCTTTTGGGGGGATTTTTTTTTTTTTTTTCGAGACAAGGTTTCTCTGTGTAGCTTTGGAGCCTATCCTGGCAGTCGCTCTGGAGACCAGGCTGGCCTCGAACTCACAGAGATCCTCCTGCCTCTGCCTCCTGAGTGCGGGGATTAAAGGTGTGCGCCACCAACGCCCGGCCGCTTAGCTCTTGTTTGACATTGACCTTAAAATGGCTTTGGAATGAGATGGGAAGCCTCTGGCCTGCTCTTTCAATATTTTTGCTAACTGCTGCGAGGTTCATGTTCCTCAGTGCCCCTCAGTGATGGGATCTGATTTTAAAACTTCTAAGTTTATTTAATGCAGCCACTTTCCATCTTCTTCAGAGTAACAGTGTAACTTCCCTGAACCTTCTAGATACCATGCACCCCACCTCCCTCACCTGTCTTGTCTCCTCCTCTTTCACAGAGATCTGTGACCTTACACTCAGATATTCTGTGTGCCGTCTATTCCCAATGCTTCATGCGGGCTTCCTTCTGGCAGATTTAAATGTCAGAGTGGCTGCCAGTCCCCATCTTCTTCAGAGTAACAGTGTAACTTCCCTGAACCTTCTAGATACCATGCACCCCACCTCCCTCACCTGTCTTGTCTCCTCCTCTTTCACAGAGATCTGTGACCTTACACTCAGATATTCTGTGTGCCGTCTATTCCCAATGCTTCATGCGGGCTTCCTTCTGGCAGATTTAAATGTCAGAGTGGCTGGCAGGCCCCTTCTGCAGAGCTGTAAACACACACACACACACACACACACACACACACAGAGAGAGAGAGAGAGAGAGAGAGAGAGAGAGAGAGAGTTTACATAAATGCTATACCTAGCAGGCCTCTGCATCCCTGTGGGATCCCTGAAGGTAGAGTAACTCATTCTTCTTACCCTGCAGCACTACAGTCACCCATTGAGTATCAGCGGAAGGAAAGGAACACAGCTGTGGTCCGCTCCCAGCCCCCTAGGGTTCCACAAGCCAGCCCCAGACCCTACTCTTCTGTCCCTGTGGGCTCAGAGAAGCCCCCCAAGGGCTCCAGCTACAACCCACCTCTGCCACCCCTGAAGATATCTACCTCCAATGGCAGTCCAGGGTTCGACTACCACCAACCTGGGGACAAGTTTGAAGCTAGCAAGGTAAGCGACAGCCTGTTACTCATACCCTCCACCACTGCGCAGACCTCAGAGGTCACTTTAAGAAACAGTATGTTTTCCCGTCGATTATTTGAGCAGAAGCAATTCATTAAGTATAATCGAACCTCGCTTATTTTCTTTCTTCCCTTGTAATTAACTGAAACCAGTGCCCTCTGTCTGGGGCACTGTGTATTAATTAAAGGACTATTGACATCTGAATGTGGAGGGTTCTGTGGCAACAGGGACCACAGCTCCTATTTCCATATTAGAAAGAGACAGCCTCATCCAACAATGGTGTGCACCAGCATCTACAGAGGGAAGAAGCTCAGCCTCCGCTCGCTGGTGTGGTGAGAGGAAGCTGGTCACTCCTGCGCACCACAGAAACTAGGCTCTACCCATACTTCAGACAGCACCGAGGGGCATTGTACCACAGGCCTGGTCCGCACAGCTGGGCTTCATCCTGAACCACAGTGGGAACAGGACAGAAATGAGGAAATGCTGGGTTAGAAGTCAGGTGCCTTGCTCTCTACTCCAAGCTCTGAACCTCACTTCCTCTTAAACCTGAGAGAATTAGCCCATCAGAGTTGTGTATTCTTCAGAACTCCTTAGGTCCACGGATCAGAACACACCTGCATTCCTTACTTCCGTGGCCCGATTTTATAGGTGTAGTTCTTTTCCCAAATCCTTAGTTGATGCCGATTTTGTTCAAATGAATGGTTGATGTGTAAGTTCAGCCCTGTTCAGTAAGTTCAGTCCCCACCTATTTCATCACCGAAATAATTTTCTGCCCTAGAAAAACCCTGCCCGTGTGAATCAGTTGAAGTCACTTTGGCATTTTGTCAGCCATATGGAAGATTTTCTGGCTCGCATCATGCTGTAGGAGGTAGCCTGGCCTCCTGGGGAGCTACAGGTCTGTCTAGACACAGCTGCCCTGGTATAGACTGGCATGAAGAGGTCACATGGGCAGCACCTCCTGTATTAATAAGTACAGTGGTGGGGAGATGTCAGGTTTCTGTTTCACAGGGTAGCCCAGGGCCTTAGATGTCAGGTTTCTGTTTCGCAGGGTAGCCCACGGCCTTACCTTTGCATTGGACATAGTACCATTCTTACTTCCCTGTCAGAGAGGGTCAGGATGAGGAAGGAGCACAGGCAAGTGCTTCCTGAAAGGATAAAAAAGTGAGCTGGGCATGGTAGTGCATGCCTATGATTCCAGCACTTGGAGAGGCTGACTTAAAGGATCATGACTTGAAGGTCCTGGATTACCTGTCAAGTGAGGTCTCAAAAGGAGGGGAGAAATGTAGCATCACAAGGTCTGTGTTCTTTCCATAGAGGTTGTGACCCCTGACCTGACCTTTGCCCTGACCTCACTCTGCCCAAGTGCTTACATGTCCCTGTGCTGATAATAGGTTCTTCCTGCCATCAGCAAGAGGATGCCATCAGGAAGGCTGCATGCTAGGCAGGAGCTTCCAGGTTGCATGTGTGTCCGTAGCTTTCTCCGGGCATCATTCGAAGCCGTTCACTTTGGTTATAATACTGTATTGCTACAAAACATGCTTTCAGAGCATGTTTATGAAAACGTCCTCACCCAGGACTATTCTGCTTGCCCTTAATCCTGCCAGTGGGCCATCTGGCCTGTAGCCATGCCATAGGGTGCAGAGCAAGCCCGAGTGAACCATCCTCCTTGTGTTTGTATGCTTCTGCCCCTGTCTCCTAGCAGAATGACCTGAGCGGCTGCAATGGGACCTCATCCATGGCTGTAATCAAAGATTACTATGCACTGAAAGAAAACGAAATTTGTGTGAGCCAAGGTGAGGTGGTCCAGGTCCTCGCCGTCAACCAGCAGAACATGTGCCTGGTGTACCAGCCTGCCAGCGATCATTCCCCAGCAGCAGAAGGCTGGGTCCCAGGCAGCATCCTGGCACCCCTCACCAAAGCCACAGCAGCGGCAGAAAGTAGTGACGGGAGTATCAAGTAAGTGCATCCATGGCTTCCCAGGAGAGAAGTATGTGGATTTAAAAATAAAAAAGCAAAACCAAAAGAACACAAAATGCAAAGCCAGTAGGGAATCGCTGTGGGATCAGGGTGCAAGTAATGGATGGAACTGCTTGTAGCTGGGGTGTCTAGGCTAGATTGCTCTGGGGTCACGGTGGTGGTGGTGGTGATGGTGGTGATGGTGAATTTTCTTTCTCTTTCGTTTATAATTTTCTGTTCATTTTTCCCCTTCTTCTTCCCCCCAACTCGTTAAGAAAAGAACCCTACTGAAACCCTAGGTGACAAAAGGCATGCCTTCCGTTGCTACATTTGACCCACCACGGGACTCACTGGACTGGACTTCTATTTATATTGTATGAAGTTACTGATATATATATATATATTTTTTTTGATTGACACCCAAAAACGACCTTAGCACAAATGCCAGGCCTGGACAGGCCAGAGCCTGCTGCTTCTCCCAAAAGAGAGGGGATTTTTTTTTTTATTTTTATTTTTTTGGTTGTCCATGGCAATTCCTCTGTACAGGTTGTAACTTTTTATTTTTATTTCTCTACTCCCCTGTCACTTTAATATATGTTCATGGTAATCTGTAAGATATTTCTTTTCCTTATTTTGATTGCAAAAACCCTTCTGAACACATTCCTGTATAAAGCATTTTGCACTATTTAAAGAAACCCATATGGATGAAGTCAGGTTGTGCAATATAAAATGAGGAGCCACAATGTTCATCATTGTACCTGTAATGTAACTAATAATTTTAAATGTACTATTTTAAATATGTAAAATAAATTTTCACCATGAGCATGTTTTAATGAGGTTAAAGACTAGTTGACCCTTTTTCCCCATCTCATTATTCTCAGACTTTTGAGTGTGAAAATGATTTTTTTCCTTTCTTTTCTATATTTTATGGGTTGGTTGACTGCATTGGCATGTTTTTCCTGTATGAAAAGTGCCTTTGTTGCTAACTCTTGGACCCTGGCCTTTCCTCTAAACACCCCCCTCAGGATTTTCTCTGACTTCAGAGAAGGGGAATGATACAAAGTCGATGCAATCTGGAGGGCTCCCAGCAGCAGGGTGACCTTGAGGAACTGATGTCTTTGGGTGACTAGCACGGGATGGTGTCAGCCTGCTTTTCTCACAGATCTCCATGCTTCATGCTCACCCATGGGAGGGTCCAAGGAACCAACATGAGATGACAGAGCGGTGACACCAGCTGCTCTGCTTTAGCCCTTCTCTGTCAGGCAATAGAAGCTCCTGATGTCACCTGGCTTCTCCAGGTGACCACAGAAATCAGAAGTGGCCCCAGGGTGAAATCGGCCCTGTGTGTTTTAGTCTAAAGATGCAGATTTCAGAAACCTTGGAGGGAAAGGCCACAGAGCCCTGATGTAGCAGAATCTCACAGAGGTAGCTCTTTAATGGGCAGTGTTCTTGTTACCCAGGCACTGACACCACCTTCCTCCTCACCTTTGGATGTCTTGACCACAGGGTAAAGGGGCAAAGAGAACAGATAGATGCACCCACTAGCCTCTTGGGTTCCTTGTCAGTCAGAGTTTCACAGGGATTGGTGGCACTGGAAGTGAGCAGCTGACTGAATGGGGTATTCACGTTTATCAGCAAACACCCTCACTCCTCCTTCCCTGGGCCTGCATGACCCCAGGGATCAGGAGTGGCGGCGATGCCTACAGGACAAATGTCACAGAAACTATGTCCACATCAGTCACTGGGCTGGTGGCCAAGAGATGGAAGCTCCCCAAACCATGGTGACGTGTTCTTCTGGGAAGGAGAATTTGAAATTGAACCTCCCTGCCACTGGTGCCCCTCTGTACACTATTTTTAACATTTCTCATTTCTCACCAAGCACACTGAGGAGCCCAGAGGGTGGCAATAAACAGGCGTGAATCCCACATGCGTGCAAACACACTCTACCTTCTGCCCTGGAATTCTTTTTAGCAGAGACCTCCCTGACCCCCTGATAGTCCCAGGGGAGTCAGGGACATGGATTTGGGGAATAAAAGACAAGAGATCAAAGTCTGCATTCAAGGGTGATATCCTCTAGGGTCATCTTCCATGTCTGATTCTCACTGGGGTAGAGGAATTGGAGCCAGGTGCTCTGAGACGTCCTGAAATCCTGAATAGCTTATGGTCAGGGGCTGTGAGATAACCTCTGACCTTCAGAAGGACCCCACACACACACTAAGCACAGCATGCAAGAACACAATTGTGGTTGCGTTTTCCTCTTCAGGTTAGTTGTTGAGGATAAACTACATTGGGTTCCTTACACTCCTGGTGACTCTGGAGTGCTGTGGAGGAGGGGCTGGCTATTATAGTTTGAAGTATTTTCCTCCTAAGTCTCACCCGCCTCTCCCTTCATGAAGGTTCTCTTCCTCAAGCCCTGTCTGCAGAGCCCCATATTTAATCAGAAAACATAGAAGGGGGAACACAGGCCTCATTCCATGCAAACCCTGTGACCATGAAATGTAGCTGCTGCTCGGGTCCCTGATGCTGCAGGGTCTGGGCTGCTCGTGACTCTGACAGATGTGGGACTCAAGGGCTCTGCTCTGGGCCTGTCTTCTACAGCTGTGAAGTAGTGTCCAGACCCCAGGACCATGTGAAAGAGCATTGCCACTGTTGCACACACTGGGACTTGTTCCAACAGGGAAACTCTGGCACCTTATAGTGACTGGCAGAGCCCTGTAGTCACAAACACTGAGTAATGTGGAAAACACAGATGGAAGCCTTGCCCTGAAGTATCCAGATATACGAGGGTATGTCGCCACTTTCTAAGGCAACTTGCTCAGAAACCCTGGCAGTTCCCCAGTGCTTGCGAGTGCCATGCCCCATACACAAACAACAAAATGGGAACCTCCAAGTCATTCTGTTGGGTCATATTTATATATGAGGTATTATGGCTTATTTGTACACAATGAAATATATTTCCTTTATCTTTCCTTTTCTATACCCATTCCCTCCTTCCCCATCCACTATACCCTTGTCAAAGCACCACCCCAATCCTTAAAGGCTTCATCCAATGATCAAAAATCTCCCTTGGTTTGGTGACTCAGTACCTGTTTTTTCCCAATGCTGCACTTTACCTGGTACACCTTTCAGGAAGGGTCAGTTCATCCTCACTTCCAGGTGGAGGTGATGTCAGCCCCAGCCACCACAGGAACTGGCACAGAAGGTTTGGGGCCCTGAAGCTGGCAGGGGCTTCCCTGGAGCATCTCACCTGAAATACAATGGTGGTGAGCCCGCCCACCACCTCACTCTGCCCCATCCTGCCATTTTGATTGGTGCATTTTTTGGTATAACAGGAAGTCATGTTCATGGCATACTCTACGCATGAGAAAGCGGGCAGAAGTGGAGAACACGGGTAAAAATGAAGCCACAGGGCCTCGTAAACCCAAGGATATTCTGGGCAACAAAGTCTCTGTTAAAGTGAGTAGGTATTCTGGAACTGGGTCCTCTCATCTATCCCCACCCTGAAGCATTGTCATAGGCAGTTTGGGTGGGTGGGGATTGGGTACTTATTTATCTACTGCCCAGTATGGGGACCAAAGAGGGAGTAGTCTAGCAGGATTTGCATGCAAGATCAATTTGTTTTTTTATTTTTTATTTCTCCTGGCACCGTCAATTCAAGTAAGTACCTCTCGTTTCCTTTCCTTTTGTGATTAAGCAGATGTTTTACTGCAAAATGATCTGCAGCATTCTTTTCTTAGAAATGCAAGATGCTTGGTTCATACTAAATTTCTCAAAGCTGCCCACTCAGTAGCCTAGGTTTGGGAACACATTAGGTTACAGGGTTACCCTCCAAACCCCTGATCTTGTGAAGGCAGAGGTTTGGCACTTCAAGGCTATCCTGACCTTAGTAAAGTTTCATTTCTTTTCCCCAGAGTTCACAACATCACCTTTAAGCCATTACATTCCCTCCCCGAACGTGGAAAGACTAAAGAGGCACACTGGTGAAGCCCTGATTGTTTTTTTGTTTTGTTTTGTTTTGTTTTGTTTTGTTTTTTAATTATCTGTTACTTTGAACTCAGCAACCATGAGCATAGCAGACCCATGGTTTCTCCCACCTGGAAATGTGGATGTGATCTGCCTTGTTTAAGGTGACCCCTCTGAAACGCTTTGCCGGGGGACAATGAAACCACACACTGGTATCTCATAGGTGCTTTGCCTTTCACCACCATCCTTTTGGGGAAAAGAAATTGGGAAGCCCAGCCTTGTTGAAGAGGAAGTTTAATTCCAGCACTCATGCTCCATTCTGTCACTCCCATTGCTCCCCCTGGTATGACAAGAAGGTGTCCACAGTCCCTGCGAAAGCATGCTGCTGCCATGACGACCCACATTCCTCCTGAAAAGTCCCCGGTTGTTTCTCTGCCCCGTTTCCCATGTCCATGCCTCTCTGATATTCTCCTCTCTCTAGCCAAACAACTGTGTTCTAACTGTGTTCTCTTTCTCCCCCCTTCTTCATGCTGCCAACCAAGGAGACGAACAGTTCCGAGGAATCAGAGTGCGATGATCTTGACCCTAATACTAGTATGGAGGTAGAAGCAGCTATGTTGTCCTATTTCCTACAATGATTGCCTTTTCCAGTGTTTTGTAACAGTGACCTTGCTAGAGTCCAGGATAGATCATGCTTCTGTAATGTTAGGGGAACTGCAGGGTGTCCCATCTAAACTAAAGCAAAACAAAACAAAAATTAAATTCATCTCTATTTGGGTAGGAAACTCTACTTTGGTATCTTTTTAAAAACAAAACCTTGCCGGGCAGTGGTGGCACATGCCTTTAATCCCAGCACTCGGGAGGCAGAGGCAGGCAGATCTCTGTGAGTTTGAGACCAACCTGGTCTCAAGAGCTAGTTCCAAGACAGGCTCCAAAGCTACACAGGGAAACCCTGTCTCAGAAAACAAAAACAAAAAACTTGTGCTTCTCTTGAATTCTTGCTTAGTATTTCCATCATTGGAAGTTTTGGCTTTATGTAGAAAACACCCAACTTTATTATTTGAAACATAGAACACATTTCTTTTCATAGAAAATAGTCATAATTGATATTTGGTTCACCCTGAAGTATAAGAGTCACTGGGTGGTTTTGTTTTGTTTTGTTTTGTTGTTTTTCTCCTTATCGTTTTTCTCTCTTTTCTTTCCTCTTCCCCTATCCCTTTTTCATCTTGATCTTCTGGACTCTAGTCCTTCAGTGCTCTGTAGCTTTTCTCGGTGACCTGGCTCCTAGTTACTATGTGCACCAGGTTAAGAACAAAGCAAGAAAGGGTTAACTCGAAGAAGGCATTCCTTTGCCCTTTCCCAGGGCCGGTGGCTACAGCTACCAAGTGAAGAGCCCCAAATAACAGCCTCTCTTCTGGAGCCTTGGTCTAGAGACAGGGAGGCAGGAGCACATGGCAACTTTTCCCACGCCCCAGGTTTGCGTGTGTATGGGCATTGGAACAGCATCCTGCCATCTTGAACATCCATTGCCGAGTCTCTAATTCTAGAAACATGGCCCCTACAAACTCACAAACCCTGGAGAATCAGAGCAAGCATGAGCTAGCTTGCCTTGCCATTTAGACTTTCAGAGTAGCTTGAAATGTCTTTCTCCAGAAGACAATTTAGAATGTCATTTACATGGGATCTGTGTCCCATCCCTAGCAATAGATTAAAAATTTCAGATTTCCTCTATTGCAAAATAATTTCTAAATGTATTTTGACAATTTCACATGTGTATATAATGTATGTATATCACATCTACCCATATTGTTCTTATCCCCCTCCCAGTCCCTCTGAACCCCTCTTTCCCAATAAGTCGAATTCCCATGTTCACAGTTTTTGTTCTATCCTTAAATACCCACTGAGTTTAATTAGGGTTCCTCGGACGAGCATGGATATGGGGTTATTTAGTGGAGCATGAGCAACTTACCTAACAGTGACTACACCACTGAAGAAAAAGAACAACCCCACCCCACCCCCACCCCAGCAGTGACAATAGCTCCTCAGGGGTAGGGCCTTGTGTGCCCCTCCTTCCTGATATAATGGTGTCAGGCCCAATCTTGTACAGATAACTACAGCACCAGCCATATCGAGTCCTCTGCATCCTCCAGATCTTACAAACATGGCTACAAATGTAAATATTTAAAAGACACTGCGACAACACATCCATCTAGCATAACAACAGCAGTAGGTTTCCCCCCAAACCCTATCTTATGCGCAGCCCTAAACTTTTCACCTACCTAGGTAGCCTATTATTATTATTATTATTATTATTATTATTATTATTATTATTTGTCATAACCCCTAAGAAGTCCACCACCAAATTATGAAAGCAATTTAAAAAACCCAAGAGAGACCATGTGGCCTAAGAACAGGTGAGTCAGCTGTGGAGGAAGCCAACTGATTTGAACTGAGCCGGGCTGTGAGTGGTTGAAAATGGGAGCTCTGCCAGAATAAAACAGTGCCCTGTGGGTGTGGGCTCTGCCACAGAGCCAAGTCTGGCAGGTGTGGGTCCGTATCGCACTCCGCTGTGGGAGGAAGTGGTGATGACGTTCACAGCTCAAATGTGTCTTAGCGATGAGGGAGCCAGGGGGCTCCTGACCCTGATTCCCTTGATTTCCTAGGGCAGGCAGCTGCATGCATGGGTCCCTCACTTATCAACGTTCAGATAGAGGTGGCACTTTTTCACTGTGCCTTGATGTGGCTAGCACGTTCTGAAGGATCAGCCGCGTGTAGAGGAAGGCCAGACGGGGAGGGGAGGAGCCAGGTATCTGTGTTCCAGAATGACATTCCCACACCATAAAAGGAGAGGTGGAAACAGAGGGATGTGCCTCTTGCCATCCACTAAGAAAGTTGCTTAGTCTAGTCATGCTCTGTACTAGACTTACGTAAGAAGTACATGGGTGCCCACATGCCCACACTTTAGCCCTGTTTGCAAGTTGAACCCGTTTTTTAAGGTTAGTAATATTCAAAGCTGGGTACTTTCTTTGTGATCTGAGTGAGATGGGCCCCTTCAAGGTGCTACTGGCCACCCAAGCAAAGACATCAGGACGCCTCTGGGGGCAGAAGATTGGGCAGCTACGTGAACAGAAAGTTTTTAAATACAGTCATGGAGGTGCAAAGCTTCCTGTGGGCAGAAAGTTCAGCTAACCCAAACCCTCGATAGGGAATGTGGTTGGAAACTGGGAATGTGCTGGTTGCTCCAGTGTGTCCAAAGCAGTTGTCCCCAGCCCTTGGCATTCTGTGCTGACTCTCCCAAGTGTCCTAGAGCTTTCTGAATGTGTCATCATCCTGATGATAGCTGTCATCTCAGATGCTGGCTTAGCCACTACAGACACAAAGAGCAAGTAGGATCTTGGGCCTCAAACTGCTAAGCATGGGGGATATGAAAATGGAACTTTATTGTAGCAAAGATGGTAGAAGTAAATGGCTGGTAGAGTGTGTTGAAGACCAGTTGAAATCCAGATGGCTGTGCCTCCCCCAGAGGGCTTCTTGGTGCTAGGGTGATGTGTGGGGCCTATTTCCAAAGTCCCCCAGGCCTAACCTTACCTGTGTTTTGGAAGTGTATTGTGTTCTCTCAGTGACCTGAACAGCAGCCCCCTCTAGTTTATACTGAGCCTCTGTTACTGGGACCCCAAAACCTGGTACTGTGCACCCATATGCTTGCTCCATGCCTGGTCTCCAAATGTGAAGTTCTGCCTGACAATAGCATGTTCACCCTGGAGCACACTGTGAACAGACTCGTCTGCCTCCATGAGAATGATATCCGTCCATCTGTCACCAAAACATCATCTGCCTTCTCTCAGCCTGGGGACTGTGTTCCTTTAAGAGACAGTTTCCTGGGGCCTTTACGCCAGATGCACCCTATCCAAGCATATATTTGTCTTGCCACAGTACTTTAAGAAGACGCAGGCTGTCAATGAAAGCAGTTTAAGAGGAGAGTAAAGCCCACTGAATCCTCGGATTTAACTGGCCACTTACATTAAGGGAGACTATTGGCAATGCTATTCATAGCCTTTCCTTCCCCCGTCACAATGCTCCTCTCTCTCTCTCTGTCTAACTCTCTCCATCTCTCCCATCTCTCTTACACATGCATACACACGCATACACACACACACACACACACACACACACACACACACACACCATTCCCCACTGCAGGCCATATCACCAGCCACAGCAAGACTGGCACAAGGTCCCTGCATTGCCCGATCAGCGATCAGCGTGGCCATCTCTCCATCTGTCACCACACCACATGGGGAACTGTTTTAAAAATGAACGCCTTGTAGTTCAGCTTTTCCTTGCACTCCCGAAGGGGGGGGGGGAGTGAAGGGGACATTATGTGTGAAAGAAATTCACATGCAAAAGAAAAGCCAAATGAGGATAAAAATGAAACACTAGGGTCTCTTGGGAACAGCCTCTCTCTCTCTCTCTCTCTCTCTCTCTCTCTCTCTCTCTCTCTCTCTCTCTTTCTCTCTCTCTCTTTCTCTCTCTCCTCCCTCCCTCCCTCCCTCTCCACAGCTTAGACTGATGATGGTCGTTTCTAGGCTTAGAGCCACATGGCTGTGTGCCAGCTTCTTCAGTCCCATGACACCCCCCCCCCCCCCCCCCGTCTACAAGTGATACTATAGGCTAGAGCCAGGGCCCAACTACCCAGGGAGCAGCACCTGCCCCTACCCAGGGCCAGTCTAAGAAATCTGCATTCTTTTTGACAAGGGCTAGATTTCCCTTAGGACTCTCAGGAGGTCCCCACATCCATATCACCTCTGAAAAGCTGGGGAGGTCATTCCTGGGTTTTCACAGCTGCTCGACCCCACATTGTTCCCTGCCTGAATCACTCAATGGGGCTGAAAAGTCTGAACCAATTTGCAGACTTGGGCCTTTATCTCCAAGGATCAGAATTCTCAGCGCAGCTCTTACGTCAAACCTAATTAATTACATGCATTTTAATTTCTTTAATAAAGCTCCATAGCCCTCTTAGCAGAGGTCAGTCCATCAGAGTGAGAAGTTGTGATTCCAAAAAGACTCCCCCCACCCCAGCCACTGCACACTCTGGCCTCTTTTAGCTGCCAGCTGCCAGCTACATAGCTTAGGGAGCTCATAAGTTCCCTAAGCATTGTGGAGAAGGACTCTGAAGGTGCCAAACCAAGACACTTGAAAAGGGGAGGCTAATTGGGGAGGATATTTCTCATCAGGGTTAAAAGAAGATTTTCAACAGAGCCTCAGGAAGCTATGGCTAGCCTGTGCTTTCATTTACTCTTTTCACCACTTTGCAATGGATGCAATGTAAATAAGCATCCTTACTATTGGAAGTGTGGAGTTCAGTGATGGGAAATACCTCTTATGTTGTGCAGCCGTTACCACCTTTCATTTCTGGAACTTTGCCACAATCTCAGACATGATGTGTTTCCACTAAACAACAGCCCCCCTCTCATCTCCCATCTCCCTGGCTCTTTTACTTTTTAAAACAGGGAGATGAAGTACAAAAAGGTTAACTTGGACTGCAGAGGTGGCTCAGCAGTTAAGATCACTGGCTGCTCATCCAGAGGACCTGGGTTTGGTT